CTCACGTCACATGTGGCAACATTGACAATTGTCAGGAAATTATGACTATGCCAAAGTGTGCTATAGGATACCTCAATTAGCTTCTCCACTCTTGCCAATATCTTTGGTATGTTTATTATTTGTAGAAGTTCTTCAAAACCGTTGGTGGTGTCTTTATATAAATATAAATTCCATTGCAATTTTAACCTGTTATTGATTTCAGTGACCATATGGTCAAGCTGCTTGTGCTGCTGTTTTTCTTTAATGCAGTCAATCATTAGTAGGCTCCACATTATAATCACAATTACCGCCAGCAAGAAGTTTGGTTTAAACAAATTCATATTTTCCAGATTCCGTGAATGGTGAAAAATTGTTCCGACAAGATATATGAATAGAAACAAAGTAATATTGACATTTCTCTAATAACGGCTAGAAATATTTGACAAAATGGTTTGTAAAATATGTATAACATTGTATATAATTTTATACTAATCTAAAAATTCTTCAGGGAGAAGGTTTAAAAATACGAAAAGACTGAAATACAAAACACTGAGAGAAAAAAAAAATACAAAAACAGTAAAATGGCATGCCATTGTTGCCAAAATTTCGGTGTGTGCACAGCTTAACCATGACACCCTATAACTTCTATTTATTCCTGCACATGAAAGCGTGGCCAACAGTTTTCGTTTCCAGAAGATGTGGTTGAAGCGTTCAAAATCATTAATTTGGGGGTGCCTCTATCGAACCCCGTGTTAAAATATTTAAATTTCAGTTTCAAATCACTCAAACTCCAACAAGAATGGTCCACACTGGACCAAAATATAGTCGAATTGATCTGTATAGGGAACATAGGTCTTTCAAAGAAACATTGGTATATAAACAGACCGACGTGAAGTGTATAGACACTACAGGTCTGTTGAGAGATCATAGTTCTGTATAAAGACAATTTAGTCTGTGCGGAGAAAACAGAGTTTACCAATCGGTCTTTATAAAGACATGTGGACTCGATATTGACCAATTTTGGTTCTTATAGACATCTCTGATCTCAAAACAGACCACTTGGTATATACCCTGTTTTCTATGTTCAGACTAATTGGACTTTATACAGACCTATGATCTCTCAATAGTCCTGTAGTATATGTACACTTGCAATCGTTCTATTTACATACCACTAAGTAGGGTAGTACCCATATAACTGTACCCCCAACATTTCATATTTTGAGTCTTCAGCAAAATTGATTGTTATTTTTATACTCTCCACCATAGTATGGAGGGTATATTAGTTTTGTTTTTCCGTTTGTAACGCTTCGAAACAATAATTTCCGACCCTATAAAGTATATATATTCTTCATCAGCGTAAAATTCTATGACGATCTAAGCATGTCCGTCTGTCTGTTGTAATCACTCTAGCGTCTAAACGAATTGAGATAGAACGCCAAAATTTTGCATAGAGTCGTCTTTTGTCTGCAGGCAAGTCAAGTTCGTAGATGGGCCATATCAGTCTACGTTTAGGCATAGCTCCCATATAAGGGTACCCCCAAATTTTCAGCATTTTGGGGTTCTTAAGCGCGTTTTTCAACCAAATTCGCTGAAATTTGGTAAAATGAGTTATTTTTGGAAACAAAATTTCACCACTAAAAGTTATAAATATAGGTCCACTTTTTCTGGTAGCTCCCATATAACGGTACCTCCCAATTTTCAGTTTTTGGGGGGTTTTGAATGGATTGTTTCTCCGAATTGGCTGTAATTTAGTGCTTTGTGTTCTTATTGGGTTTCAAATCTCTCCACATAAAATTATAAATATAGGTCCAATTTTTTAGGTAGCCCTCATATAATGGTACCACCATTTTTCGGTGTTTTGGGGTTCTTGAGAACAGGTTGCAACCCAATTCGCTGAAATTTGGTACGTTGAGTTCTTATTGCGTAGCAAATCTCTCCACTAAAAATTATAAATATAGTTCCATTTTTTCGAGTAGCCCCCATATAATGGTATCCTCCAATTTTCGGTATTTTGGGTTCTTGAGAACGGGTTTCAACCGAATTCGCTGTAATTTGGTATTTTGTAGTCGTATATGGTAACAAATCTCCCTACCAAAAATTATTAGTTTTCACCCCCTTTTAGGGGTAGTCCCCTTATACCGACCTTTTTATACCTTCCACCATAGTATGGAGGGTATATTAGTTTTGTTTTTCGTTTGTAACACATCGAAATAATCATTTCCGACCCTATAAAGTATATATATTCTTGATCAGCGTAAAATTCTATGACGATATAGCCATGTCCGTCTGTCTGTCTGTCCGTCTGTCTGTTGTAATCACTCTAGCGTCTAAACGAATGGAGATAGATCGCCAAAATTTGGCATAGAGTCCTCTTTTGTCTGCAGGCAGGTCAAGTTCGAAGATGGGCGCTATCGGTCCACGTTTAGGCATAGCTCCCATATAAGGGTACCCCCAAATATTCGGTATTTTGGGGTTCTTGAGCGCGTTTTTCAACCGAATTCGCTGAAATTTGCTACATTGGGTTCTTATTGGGTACGTAATATTACCACAAAAAATTATAAATATAGGTCCACTTTTTCTGGTAGCCCCCATATAACCGCACCTCCTAATTCGCAGTATTTTGGGGGTTTTGCTCGTATTTTTCCGCCGAATTAGCTGTAATTTAGTATTTTGAGTTTTTAATAGGTACAAAATATCTCCACAAAAAATTATGAATATAGGTCCATTTTTTCGGATAACCCCCATATAAGGGTTCCCCCAATTTTCGGTTTTTTGGGGTTCTTGAGCGCGTTTTTCAACCGAATTCGCTGCAATTTGGTATTTTGTAGTCGTATATGGTAAAAAATCTCCCTACCAAAAATTATTAATATTCGCCCCCATTTTGGGGTAGTCCCCATATAACCCCCTTTTTTATACCCTCCACCATAGTATGGAGGGTATATTAGTTTTGTTTTTCCGTTTGTAACTCATCGAAATAATCATCTCCGACCCTATAAAGTATATATATTCTTGATCAGAGTAAAATTCTATGACGATATAGCCATGTCCGTCCGTCTGTTGTAATCACTCTAGCGTCTAAACGAATGGAGATAGATCGCCAAAATTTTGCATAGAGTCGTCTTTTGTCTGCAGGCAGGTCAAGTTCGGAGATAGGCTTTATCGGTCCACGTTTAGGCATAGCTCCCATATAACAGTACCCCCCAATTTTCGGTATTTTGGGGTTCTTGAGCGTGGTTTTCAACCGAATACGCTGAATTTTGGTACATTGAGTTATTTTTGGGTACTAAATGTCTCCACAAAAAATTGTAAATATAGGTCCACTTTTTCTGTTAGCCCCCATATAACGGTACCTCCTAATTTTCAGTATTTTGGCGATTTTTATCGTATTTTTCTGCAGAATTAGCTGCAATTTAGTATTTTGAGTTCTTAATAGGTCCCAAAACTCTCCACAAAAAATTATGAATATAGGTCCATTTTTTCGGATAGCCCCCATATAAGGGTACCCCCAATTTTCGGTATTTTGGGGTTCTTGGGCGCGTTTTTCAACCGAATTTGTTGCAAATTGGTATTTTGTAGTCGTATATGGTACCAAATCTCCCTACCAAAAATTATTAATATTCGCCCCCATTTTGAGGTAGTCCGCATATAACCCCCTTTTTATATTAAAATAGTTATCTGATTTGTTACGCGTTTTAATTTTGGTTCTAAGACTCTGTTGTAATCATTTCACCTGCGGAGGATATCGAGATAAAAAAGTAGAACGTAAAGTTCGATAATGAACTATAACCCGCATTAAGACCTAGTCCCTGTATGGAGGTTCCAGACAAAGTGGACCGATCTTCGAATTTGAACTAAGATTTGAAGAAATAATAAGGTGAACAAAGTTTGGATGAAATCTAATTTTTTTGAAGCGGATTTGATCCAAAGAAACATGGGGTCTAGAATTGATATTTCAATTAGCCACAGTGTATAATTATCCATTAAAAATGTCGGTATAGGTCCACTTTTTGGTATGTTCCCCATATTTTCATTTCTAGTACCTGTCAGTATATCTATGGTGGAGGGTATCCAAAGTTCGGCCCGGCCGAACTTAACACTTTTTCACTTGTTTATTTTAAAATAGTTTTCCGTGTATTGGGGTTATCCCATATAGTTGTATTCCACCATAGTAGGAGGGATATTCGGTAGACGAAATTTTCAGTTCATAACACACATAGTAGGAATTCTAAATCGATTTAGTCGATATAGCCATATGTTGTAACCATTTTTCTCTCGGAGGATATCGGCATAAAAACTAAAACGTGAGGTTTGAGAATGAACTGTATCGACCCGCATTTAGGACCAGGTCCTATATAAAACATCCTACCTACTTAATATTTAGAGTGATGGACGGTATTGGGATTCAAAACTAAAATATTAACTTGGAACTTGAGCTACATCGGCCCTTAATTAGGCCTAACCCCTTATATAATGAAAACACCAAGTAGTTGCTAATTCCTACACAATGTTGTCAATATTGGTCCTGCTTTAGTATGCCTCATATATAATATTGCACTCTAAATTGGATTATTTTCAGGATTTTATACACATGTTTCACCGTATCATGCGTTAATCATATATGTCAACATTTTAGGGTTTTGAGATTTTAGGAAAACCCCAATCCGTGTAAAAACAGACTTAGGTGTATTTGGGTTACAATAATCGATTGGAAGAATTGTCCTTATATGTATGTTCCCTATGTTTTCATTACAAAAATTTGTCAGTATTTCGATGGTGGAGGGTATCCAAAGTTCGGCCCGGCCAAACTTAACGCTTTTTTACTTGTTTTTTACTATAACCAATATATCGGTTATTTCACTAAGGAATTGTTGACATTCGAAAGCCATAATTATAATTTATATACATACGTAAATAATCAACATGAACTAAGTGCAAAACTAAATTTGGGTCATATGTTCATTTGAAATCTCAATACAATAGAATTGTTAACCGATAATAGAACAGAAATTCGCGGAAATAAAATGCAACTGCGCAATTTATGGCTCATATTTGTGATAATACTTTGGCGTCCAGAATTAATTGAGTCCCTAACGGAGAAAGAATATAAACTTGGCCACATTGTCAACGAATTAAATGATAAATTAAAATCAGAATGGAATCTATTGGTAGCTACTGAAATAACAAACAATTTTGATGGACTCTTAAGGATAACAAATGTACCGAAGATATTGGTACTCGCTGATAAAATCGGCGACAAATATAATGTTACGCAACTGCATAGCCACAATATGCTGACAGTTGTCCAAGTAAATAAAAGTGAGGAAGAAGAACTGAGTATCAAAGTAAATAATATTTTGCCATTCTTACATTTAACTCACATTCTTTGGATTTATAATAATGCAACTCGCACCGACTTACATAAATCCGCAGAAACACATTGGTCTTTGGGTTTTGTTAATACTTTGTACTACACAAATGGTGATCTCTTCACATACAATCCAATACCAAAGCTAATTATCGAAATGGTAACAAGTGTTCGTGAATACAGTGAACGAACACCAATTAAGGATTTTCAAGGATACCCTTTGAAATTGACTGTATTCCACAATGCGCCGAACATCTATCGTTATACCGATCGAAATGGCAAAGTACAGGTCACCGGTACATATTGGAAGCCATTGGAAATATTTATTAAACAATATAATTTTGAAATGGTTTGTTTGAACTTGCCCCATACAGGTCTGCCTATTATGCGTTTGATAACAGCAATGAAGGCAAATGAAATCGATATTATACCCGGCACTCTTCAATATTGGCATGGTTTAGATCGTAGTCGTGTGTTAGACAATATCAACTATTATTTTGTGGTACCATCTCCTCAGCCCGTATCAATGATGTACTACTACTACCTGCCCTTTCGAAAAGGTCTTTGGCTATTTAACATTTTTCTTTTGATTCTCGTATCCCTTGTCACACAAAGTTTGATTGCCGGACAGAGGAAGTACTATGACAACTTTTTTCGAGCAGTATTATTTGTGGAAAGTTGGCTCCTGTTCCAATACCATTTCATTTTAAATGGCAAAACAATTCTGCAGAAAACCCTCACCTTCAGTTTGATAATATACGGATTTGTTTCCATTAATTTTTACATGGCCAAATTGTCAAGCATCCTGACCGTCAATGTTTTTGCAACGAAAATCGAAACATTGGCCGACATCGAAGCCACCAACTTGTCATTGCTTGTCAGCAACTACACCTACAATTACTTGCATTCGGTTTTTGGCATGCCTTCCGCAATATCGAATAATCTTCAAATTACCGATATTGTGACCTACCACAAATCACTCTTCGCTTTGAATACTTCCTATTTATATGTCCTGCAACAAGACAAGATGGAATTTATTCTATATCAGCAGAAATTTCTGAAGACACCGTTAATGCACCACATCGAGCTCGTCATATACAGTCATCAAAAGTACTACACAGTAAGGAGAAATTTACCCTACATTCAACAATTTAATGATTTTCTGGGATATTTCGTGGAATCGGGGCTGTTTGATAAGTTCAAAAGAGATTCGTGTCTAGAGGGAATTTACAGTGGAGAAATACGTTTCATCAGGGACAGCCGAGATGTGGTGGTGAGATTTCTAAACATTGATTACTTTAAAATTCCGCTTCGTTTTCTGTTCAACGGAAATGCAATGGCTTTTGTAATTTTTATTTTGGAGAATATACACTTTCGTCGTCAAATTATTGTACGTGCTATTTTGAAATTTGTAAAATTGAATAAATAAATAGTTTGAAGAATATTTCATTTCACTGCTTGTTGGTGTGCGTTTATTTTTTTGGATGCCATGTCTTCAGTCAAATCGAATGAGGCATATTTTTGTATAATATACCCTCCTTATATCTTCAATTCAAACAACATTAGCCAACGAAAATTCACAATTCTTTCTGAACAAGACTATTTCAAGATCTATCCAACATTTTGAAACCCATATTATATATTTGAATACTAATACTGGTTCTCATACTCAAATATTTCAAAGTTCTGCTAAATGAATGACGAAATAATTACGCCAATATATGGTGGACGGTATAACACGTTAGAATTTTTATTATTTTAGTGGTTATTAAATTAAATGAATACATGTCAGCTGAATGCATGATTTAAACAATTCATTCCAATCACAATGCACTTACACATTTACATGAATACATACTTATATACATACATACACCATACATAGTCCATAGATTCAATTACGTGTAATGTGTAAAATGAAATTGTGCGACAGTGAACGCGTGCTTAATTTGTTTACATATTTAACAAATTAAGACAAATGTGGCCGGTATAATAATTTTCGAAATTTTTATTTTTGAGTATGTCAACTTAATTGCAGTTGTTCTAGTGTATTTCTGTATTATAATCCTTTAGGAATAGAGGAAGAATGCCACATATGAAATTTATAATATTATATATAACCAGTGAGCGGAGCAGTATAGTCGTACGGGGCCGACCAAATGATACCCTACACAACTTCCATGAAAATCTAACTTTCTGTGGTTCTATATTCTGAGATTGGGCAATATTTTCTATATTTGCAAACTTCTGACTGGCTAGAGGTAAGAAAATGTTACCTCTAATTACTTGTCCACATTCCCTTCACCGTAGGTTGTGTTGTGATGTTCGGCTTTCGACTCGAAAAGTACAAATAATTAAGTTTTCGGTCCACTTCATCCGAAAAATTATTATCTGATTATCAGATAATAACATTTTAGGCGTTGTCCTTGACCATAACTGGAACCTCATGGAACATTTCAAAGCGATCAGGCTATATATCCGCCCTAAAGTGTGGTAATAGGTTACTAAATAATATCTGAATACATAAGTACCTATAAATATTTAAGTGTAACTCCCACATTCGAGTACATACGACAATATTATTGGTATTAATTATAAGGCCAACCACTCCTCTTGAACATACTATCAACTTCACGGGTCTAGGTCCTTCAGGAGTAAATATATACGATATAAAATACAAATTATGTAAATTTTCACACAAAAATCAGGGTCCATTTGACCCGCTAAATATTGACGGATCTTTATAAAAACAGGCATGCTTATTCTTTGGCCCGACCCCCTTGGCCCGACTCCATGTGACAATTCGCGAAGTTCGAGCCATAATCTTCACATACGTGAAGATTGGTCCATAACTGTGGCCTGTATCGTGTTTACAAATCATAATGGACAGACGGACGTACGGACAGACACACATGTCTAGATCGACCCAGCTAGTCGAGTTATGACGATCGGTATACTTGAAGGTCGGTCTAGGACCAATATTTCGCGGCGTTACAAACTTTTGGGGCTGCACAAAACTATAATACCCTGACAACATAGTTGTGTAGAGTATAAAAATATTTAAATAGTAATAATAAATAAAAATTACGGAATGGTGATATCGTTCATTGCATTTTTGATACCGAACTGCTCGAGAGGCTCACATATTTGTGGTATACACACTCCCACACAATATTCTTTTAGTGGGAGTAGAAATTATTCAACAAAATTAAAGTAACCGACAGATGAAATACGCAACGGCGCCGCGTATTTTGATTACATCTTACAACCAGTTGTGTTTGTTGACAACGGGCAATTTAGATGTATATTTAAGAATAGATTTATCCATGTATTTTTGTGAACAAAGTATAGGTCGCTTTTATCATCCGAATTGAATGAAATTCGGCACAGCTCATTTATTTGGCCCAAGGAAATAAGTTCAGATTTAGTATAACTCTCACGTATTATTTTATCCGGTTTTATTTAAATATAGCGCCAAAATTCCAAAGTTTGTCCGATTAGACAAAATTTTGCACAGAGTCCATATGTAGCCTATGTGAAGTTTTGCTGACATCGGTATAGCTCCCATATATATTTTAGTCCAATTTTTTGTAAATGGTGTTCCAAACCCCCAAAGGCTTGCATAGCGTCCCATATTGAGTCTAGGTGTTAAGATTCATTGAAAACGGATCAGGTTTAGATATAACTATAATTCATCCAATTTTTTATAAATGATGCACCAAACTCCCAAGGTTGTCCGACTTAGACGTAATTATTTTGTTTCTTTTAAATCGTATCAGATTTAGATACAACTCCCTCATATATTTTCATGCGATTTCATGAAATTAGGTTAAATATTTAAAATTTGTTCAATTACGTATGCCAATTTTTCTCCAAATCGGTCCGGATTACATAATTTTGCTCGATTTCATACAAATGCAGAGACCCCATATCTGCCTCGTTTACATGATTTCAGAATGAGCTCACATATGAAATGATGTCCGCTTAGATGTCAATAGTTCTCCAATGACGTTTGTTATATCGACTGGAGCATCTCTGTATGGACCACTTTGGGGGTGAAGGGCTCGGCTCCGTCCGACTTTTGAACCCATAATGGTTGCTTTATGTGGTAGTAGGTTGTCCATGCACTGAAAAATAATGTTTCAAATTACATAACATTATTTAATCTTAACAAATCGAATAAATAATTGTTTAACCAAGATAACAATATGCCAACCCAGCTTACAATTTGTTCCGAGTTATTTCCGAATTCGGAACGAAACTCTTCACAAGTTTCTGATGCCGAATTGTTCCGAAATCGGAAAAAATTGTGTGATGGTGCCCACGAATTCGCAAAGTTCACAAGTTTCCGATTCTGATGCCGAATTGTCCCGAAATCGGAACAAAGTTGTGTGATGGTGCCCACAAATTTGCAAAGTTTTGTCGGAATCGGAAGGAACATTCGAGTTTCTTTACAAATTATAGACGAAAATTTCGGGAGAAAGAAAGAACATTTTGAGGAAATTTTCGATTTTCTGAACAATTTTGTAAAAAATTCTTAAGAAACATTTGAAAATGGGCCGAAAATAGGGACATTATTTCAGAAGTTTAAATACAATTCGGGTGTATGATTCCAAGTTCAGAAAATATTCTGAATACCTTGGAATGTTTTTTTTTTTTTTTTGCAAAAAATCTGATGATTTTTACGAAATTCTGACATTTGTTTCAATCGAAACTCTGAATAAATCTAGATATTTTTACAGAATATACAGATTATTCGGCAAGTAATCGGAAAAAATTGTAGAGAATGTCGAAAATAAAGAATTAAATCTCAGTTGAAATGACTTCTTTTTTTTTCGGTAAACAAACTACAGTCATTTTAAAGAAACCTTAGAAATTTCGGAAAGAAATCTGAAATGAGAGCGCTCGACAAAAATTGTTACCTGGGAAATTATAGCTACTTCGGTGAGGAAATCCAATTACAAATTTAATAATACCGAAAATGAGGAGGGAATATCGAAACTAGGATATAGAGACCATTTTTATTGAAGTAGGTACTAATTGCATATATTCCTTTTGCCTCGCTTGAAAAATTTCAATGTTTGTAATCGAAAAAAATATATATTTGATCATGCTGCATGAAATTCACTACTGTGGCCCAAAATTTCAAATTCAACAAATAAGATACTGTGTTTTTTCAAGTGATCGCTGATGACCAAACGGCCTCTGTAATGTTGATAGACCTTCTGGTAATAATAAACAGTAAATTGCATTTCAGTTGTTGGTATGTGTGTTACAGTGTTGTTGTATGTAGATGACAAAAGCGATATAAGTTTTATTTCGCAAAGTGTGTGGCTAGAAAAGAGATATATTTCAGTAACCAAAAATGTTAGCAATGCTATTTAACAGACATCACTCGAACATTACGATCGAACAAATTAAAAGTAATTACAATTGATATCATACCGAAATTTCAAAATTCGCAAGTTTGATTTATTTCCCATGGAAGCCCCTATGAAATAGTATCCCATCTTTCCAAGCTAATTCAAATAAAAAGTGAAAGCACTCAGTGTCATCTGTACCTACCTCAAAATGACTCCAATGCAACATACTACATTCTTGGAATACATGCAATAGACGAACACACAGGTGATGATGCCAGGCTTCATGGTATAGATGATAGTTGAAGATACACAAAGTTTATTAGACGTATTTTTCCTTTGTAAAGAATTTTCTCGTGAAAAAAATATGAACATATTTTCGGACACACAAACACACCCTTGTTTGGGTTTTATACACTCGTCTGTGGGAAATTTGACAAAACTTTCTAACCATTTTTCTCCATGGTCCGGATGTGTGTACATATAAATGACATTGTGACCTATTATTTGCTATGGCTAAACACTGCACTATTTGAAAAGTTTTCCTCAAACAAAATTCGCATGGCGATTATCTTTTATGTGTGTGTGTTTTTTTTCTTTTTTGGAAAGGTGGGGTTAGTAATGGGTTAAATGTATTAGATATTTTATATTTGACGACTGTAAAAGTTTCCTACAGTATGGGAAATTGAAAATAAAAAATCCGGTGAGTAAAATTAGATGGGCAGTGCTTATGGCCTGACCATACTCACACATGTTTTCA